TGGATTTCACCTTCGTTTTCACTCAAAACCTCCATGAACTTGCAATCCAAGGAGACCCAAACCATGCTACAACTTAAATGCAATACTACCAACCACATGCAACTCAAAAACCTCAAGAATCACAACATGCATGCATCCAAAACTCAAGAAGAAAAATAATCAATGTCCAACCTTCCATCAAGAACCAAAAACCCCAACTTTACCCACATGCAACCAACACAACCAGAAAATCCCCAAATTTTATCCAATCCCGAAAACACATTTTCCTTCAAGACAGCCCATGAATCAGCCAACATCAAACATCTCATGAGTTTCTAAACTCATTTCCAACCAATCCAAGCTAAAACTAGCTTCCCTTACCTTAGTGAGACGATTCCGAGCTCCGGGAAGAGAAAGGAAGAAGAAGGAGAAAAGAAATCCACACTCGGCTAGCTCCGCATGGCTTCACTCTAGAGACCTCCTAGGTGTTCACGGCTTCAGCTAAAGAGAAAGGAATTTGAGAGTGAAAATTCAAAGTGAAAGGAGAAGGGAAAGTATAAGGTGAGTGACGAGAGGGAGAAAAGAGAGAAGAATGCTACAGGGTCTCACAGTAATAAATTAAAATAATATAATATTAAAATAAATCAATAAAATTAATAATATTATTTAGTAATTTAGGTAAATTTTTCTTACATTAAATATATTTTACAAAATTTTACAAATTTTATTCATGTGAGGTAAGATATGTAACTGGAAGAGAAATATGTAAAATTGTAATTGTTGATTTAATTATTTAGTCAAACTTCGTATTTTATATCCTTTAATACATATTAACGTTAATGGTAAAGTAGATGGTTTATAATTTTATTTTGAATTTTTTTGAAGAAATAGGAAATAGACTTTAATTTTATATAAAATTGTCATACTTTACTCTAATATAGACTTTATAGTAAAATAAAATTATTAATTGAAAAATATAGTTAAAATTATAATAAAACTAAAACATGCATACATTTATAACAAACCATTGAATTCCTAAAATTTAATCAACCGATAATTAACGATTATATATTTTCATTCTTGCCTTCGAAGTATATTTACTGAACTCAAATTTTATTATAAGAAAAAATATTGAGTCCAATTTCAGTGATATAAACCATCTGTTACAAACAATATTTGACTTTTTGACCAAACAACTTTAGATTACGACTAAATTTGTTTCTTTTTAATAGTAATAAATTTTCTTATTTCTAGTATAATGATCGCAAGCTTTTTTATTATATTCTCTTTCATTTTTTTTTCTTAAGTAATGTGTATTAATTATTAATATATAAATTAATTAAGAGTTAAGTGAAATATAAGAGTATAACTGATAAAAAAAATCAAATCAATGTGATCTTAAATTTTTAAAACAATAAATAAATCAAAACGAATATTTACTAAAAATAAAACGGACAGTTAAAAAGGAATATGAATATAATCTATGAATATGAATTGTAATCCAGTAATCTTATATGAGATGCGATGAGATAAATATTATACTCTCTTTTATTTTTTTTCTTTAATTAATGTGTATTATATATAAATTAATTAAGAGTTAAGTGAAATATAAGAGTATAACTGATAAAAAAAATTAAATCAATGTCATCTTAAATTTTTAAAACAATAAATAAATAAAAAGGAATATTTACTAAAAATAAAACGAACAATTAAAAAGGAATATGAATATAACCTATAAATGTGAGTTGTAATCCTATATGAGATGCGATAAGATATACATTTTCGCTCTGCTTCTAAGTACCTAGGCACATTATCTAACCTCATTAATTATGCTCTGTTCTTTGATTTTATTTAATAGATTTTAATGATAAAACAATAATTATTAATATCAAATGCATTTATTTAAATATATTATAGATAAATTTGTATAGCTTTAAAAAACTTTTAAAATTTCCCCTCATATCTTATGCATCAAGGATGAGTAAGTTAAGACAAGAGATGTCTATATTTATTAATAAATAGAATATCTCTTTTTTTATTTACATAAATTTTAGATAACTTATTTTATAATTATTTTTAAATTACTTTTTTTTTTGTTTATTTATTTACTTACTTCAATGTGACATTCATTTTTTAAACTTCTTACTCTTAATTAAGTAATTACTCATTTATTTTGTTTTGTTTTTTAAATAGAGACATAAAATATCTATTTTCTTCTAGTTATATAAAAGAAAAAATACATTTTTGTATATATATATATATATGTGTGTTTTTTTAAATCTTCAAGCTTTTTTACATAGGTGCTTCATGAAGATAACCGTTGTAAATTGTTGATCTTCTCTAACAAGCTTGCTTCATTTTTCTTTATCTTCCTTCCTTATAGAGTGAAGTGTTCGTTGGTGTATAAAATGCAAACATTAAATACATTTTACCAAATTGTCACTTATTATCTAATCAAAAGGGTTACTTATCACCTTTAAGGTACAAAATGAGAAGAATTGTTGCGTGTGTCAATCAAAAATTACTTTATCTAAGACTTTACACACTTCGAGATATATGTTCACCCTTTCTCTAACAACAAACAAATATGTATTTGTTGTTGAAGTTCAAGTAGAAAAGAAGCTTTTATTCCTTTGATCAATTAGCGAATAACATATACATAAATTATTTGGTTAAAGATCATAAATGATATATTTAATGCATTCGTATTAGAGAGATGTAGTTTTCCTAAAAGACAACACGTCATAATAACCAGTCGTCTTTCTAAATTTGTCTTTCTATATGACTTGAAAAATATTTTTTTACAAAAATGTACAAGTTTGTTAACATTAAAACTTATATCCTAAAAGATCTAAGATTGTCCTTTGATTTAACAATCACCCCATTTTTTATGATGACAAACACATTTTTGAAAAGTATAGTTTTTAAATGTGTCATATCTAGTTGATTTCAATTCTAAGATGAATATGTAGTTATCCTTGATGTTTCAATCAAATCATATGATTGTCATTCCAGATGAAACAACATATAAGATATACTCATATCACAAGACTTTCTTATTAGAGCATGTCACACCCTTCTACCCCAAAATATTTAATAAATAAATATAACAATATTTCTAGAAAACAAAAACAACAACTTATAATAACTCTCCTCATGGAATCTTATAAAAGGGTTCACATATTTATTCATCATTTATAATAAAACATATAAAGCATTGTTTCAAAGAAATAAGAACAATCTCTTAAATCAATGAAGTTTTGGTAATAAAACACACTTAAATAAAAGATCAACTACTAAACCACTACTAATCCTAAAACTCAATCCCGATGTCACACTATCAAAAATTTTTGAATTTGGAACGGGCCGTTCTGATTTCGGAACGGGTCGTTCTGATGTCGGAACAGGCCGTTCTGATCCTTTTGGTCATGTGTTTGTTTTTCATCTGGAACGGCCCGTTCTGATCCAATATTCATGTGTATATTTTCCATATGGAACGGCCCGTTCTGATTTCAGAACGGCCCGTTCCGAAACTGAAAAGCAGCTACCTCCGTACGTCATAACACGTGTTTGTTTTTGAGTAGTTGAAAAAAAAATTATTTCAGTAAAAAATTCGAAATTTTTGATCCTGTGTGTGAAGGTGTATAATATACTATCACTAATCTCAACCATTCATTATTTTTTATATTATATCTAAGGTCATCCTAAATCCTAAACATGCAGCACGAATGGACCACTTCCTAAACTTCTCCATCAGAGACTTCACCTAAATATAGTACCATGTTTCTACTAGGCTATCACGTGCCATCCTCTTTAATACTTAATAGAGATTAAAATGAATTTTTCAACAACTTTTGGGTACTAAAATGACAATAATAAAAATACTTTATTATTTTTTCTACTTATATCCATGTTAATAAAGATTAAAATAAAACATATTTACTAATATGACACTATAATTAAACGTTAGAGACAAAAAGAAAAATTAATTTGCGCGTGTCTCACACTTAATTTCAAGGGTCAAACAAGTGGTTTACTTGTCCAATTACGTATGAGTCTCACCTTAAATAAGGATCCCTCGGTAATAAAATAAAAAATAAAAAATAAAAAATAGTGGCAAATTTTAGCCGTGGCATATTCTAGTAACCTTATAGCATTGTTGTGTGAATTTGTTGTATCTCATCGTATTTTATGTTTATCTTTCTTTATAATAATTTGTACATCATCATATTTTATAAATGATATGATGGAAAAAGATAAATACAAAATATGATATTTTACAAATTGTTGTGCAAGGTAGTCAATGAATGTAGAATCTTTCATAATATCTCATATTTCTTGTCTAATCATATTTTAAAAGAATCAAAACTGGTGTTACCCCCTAATTTGAGAAATAATAATTCAGATTGTATTGCTCGGGAACATTCTTCAAATGATGGTCTTTAATTTTGTTTTAGCTTATGATAGCTTGCGTCTTGGTGGGTACTAGCTTGCGTACTGCTAATGATAACTTGGTTTGGCACTTAAACGAACCCCAAAAAATTAGACTATTCCTTTGGAAAATTTAGAAAAATTGCTTAATGACAAATGAGATAACATTCAATCCCCACTTATCTGATAACTCTCATAGTCCGGTGTGAATCAATTTTCGAAGTCAAAATTTACATAAACTTGAGTGTTGAATGTGTAAGAATATATTGAGTGTGTGAAAATGAAGAAACGTAATGTGGAAGGTATTTTAATACTTAATTTAAGACTTGAATATTTTTTCGTTCTTATAAATATTTCACTTTTTGTTTTGAGTCCTAATAATTATTTTTTTATATTTGTGATTTCTGAAATACATCATTTTATTTAATATTTCATTTAAAAATAATTAAATATAATAAAAATTCGATACTTTGATGATGTAACATTTGATAATGATATCATTGATTGAAGTTCGTAAGTTACATCAACGTGTTTTAAACAGAATTAAACGATAATAACTGGGAAATAAAATAGAACTTGCAAGAATGAAAACAGAAAAACAAAAACAAAAACTAACAGTGACTAAAGCTAAAAAATGTTATATTTACATGAAAAAATATTAAAACTAAAAACAAGATATGAAAAAAAATCCTATTCCGTATGGATTAATGCTATGTCCTTTATCTCTTTACTTTTGTTATCTCGTGGTACCAATTTCATTTTAACCAATTAAGCACAGTACAATGAAAGGAAACGTAGAACTCGAATTTGTCTCAAGAAATTCAAAAGCCACATTTAGGACCTGATTTCTATAATTCCTTTCGTGAGTATAATTTGGAGTTGTTGTTTAAAAGATAGGCACAACAACACAAAGGAATAATATAAATTAAAACACTCTAAAGTTTTATGTTTTATCCATTCATCGTTGAGTAGCTTTCGTACTTCTACGAATTCAATAACAAAGTGAATTGCCAATTATTTGTCTGATGGAATTTAATTTGCATGCACTTTTTACACCATTAATCAATTAAAAGTTAGTATTGACATGACTTTTAAATTAATTATTTTAAAAATCAAATAAAATTATTATTGATATAACAATTTGTGATTAGATTATATATATATAGAGAGAGAGAGAGAGAGAGAAAGAGAGAGAGAGAGTGTGTGAGAGAGAGATAATAAACTATTACTGTAAATACTATTCACTCCATTAAATATTGATCTTACAATAATTTTTACAAACATTAAATATAATCAACTGCTATTAAACTCACGTTTTTGACTTAATTTATTATGATTTTAAAAATTAATAGTAAAAAATTATTTTATATATTAATCTATGTATAAAATTTTAGGTTCAATAATAAAATACATAATATTTAATTACAATTTTTATTCAAAATACTTGTTGAGTAAAAAAAAGAAGTCAAGTTCTCCATGCTGATCCAATCAAATAAACACCCCTAAATAAAATAAAATGGGGAAAATTATTAAACCAAGAGTCTTTTCTTTCTTTATTTTGTTTTTCTTTTTTTGGTATAAAAAAATCAAGTCTTTTATATAGGAGTAAAAAGAGTAGCTAAACCTTGATCCACTGTTATTTGAAGTTTATCATAGGCCATCAAAGTCTTCTCCTCACATCGGTACGATCCTTTCCCCCTTGCCAGAACCTCACCATCTACATCTATGATCCCTTCCTTTTCTTGGTCCCCCAAGCGCGGGCCAGGTTCCAAAACCATAACTTTCACCTATAATTTGTTTCAAGATACAGAAAGTAACAGATCTTGTGATGCAAATATATCAAAGCAGGAAAAGTAATAGACTGCAGAAGCTGGCACAGTGATGACCACACCTTTAGGTACATAATATATGGCGACTTTACATGACCCCCATTATTCAAATCTGACATTATTGATAGTAATGGTAATTTTGGGCAATTCTTCATGACGATCAAGTCCAGATAACCATCTGAGAACTGCATTTACAAAATTAGAGTAACAAAGGAATTGTCAAGTTCATGGCTTTACGCAACTATCAAATTATAAGTAAAGATGTCCCACAACATGGTGGGACATCATTAATCTGGGGTGTGGGGTCCACTGGCATTTATACCAATGCTGGCAGCGATTGGAGTGTATCTAAAGATCTATATATTCTGTATGGTTTTTTATTTTTAACACTATTAGTCATTAAACTCAAGCAAGTTAATATGAAAATAGTCATTCATCATGTATTTGTACAGTAGCCTTCTTGCACACAAAACCAACCTTTGCATCTGGTGCAGGCTTGACGTTTTCACTACCCCAAGGCACATTGTGAAGCCATACAGAAATAAATGGTCCATTTAAAACTCTCCAACCCGGATTGTCCAAGTCAATTTCGGGTCCCTGATACCCTAGCCTTTTTAACGTCACTGGTTGTTCCTCATCAATTAGGTCACTATTGCTGCCTTTGATAGTAGAAATGCCAGGGTAACTAGTGGGCTCCCCGTAAGCTTCAAAACCAGGTGCAGGCACAAAATAAAGACATCCAGTGTAATGCCTCAAATTGATGATTCGAGTGAGAGCCTGCAACAAAGAGTAAGTAATGTAAAGAAAATAACAAATAACTTTGATCCCTGCAACTCAAATCAAAGTAATTGAAGTACAAGTGTAACAATGAAAACATAACATTAAACTAGGTTGGCACAAGTGTTGGAAGTTACTAGCTATTCATAATTCTAGTTCAGGAAATCAAAAGAATATCTATAAATTCAGTGCTTTCTTTGGCTTAAAGCATTTTACATAAACGCAAACAGTAAACTGTGTAGATGACTTATTATATCATGATTAGTTGCTCTTCCATTTATGTTCCTCTAAATGCAACCATAATCCATATAAAATGACACATACCAATGAAAGAAAAGCATCATAAATTACAAAACATGTGATGGTATATGTAATATGGCTTACTAACATAAAAATCTATGCGAGCACTTCCCATCCACCGATACTTTTCAGACTCGATGTCAATATCAGCCACCAGACCTGAAATAAAATTAAAATCCTCAAACATGTTATGGCGAATATCATGGATAGAACCAGATGCTGGCACAACTAGCTTAGATGTTATTGCACATCCACCTCATTGCCAAAATCCAATATAAGCAATTCTAATTACCCCATGCAAGCATCAACACACTGAAAAATCTGGTTTCCCCTTGTGTGATGGTGACCACATCGAGTGATCGCTTACGGCCTGACAGCATTTAATACAAAGTTAATACTTTTCAATTTTCATCAGCCCATTGAAAAGAAAAATATTGGTCACTAACAAGTTTAAATGACAATGAATTGAAAGTTTGAAACCTCGTATAATGGCAAGAACAGCATTGGATACAGTACAAGGATCACCAACTGAATCGAGAAGAGACTTTGCCATGCCATTTCCCGTACCTTGATATTGAATCATTCATTTCATAGGAACATCGTGGAAGAGATAATTATAAAATTAAGATTACAAAATTTGTATGACTAAGCTCATCCATCATCTACACATTTACAAAAGAAAGAAAAGAAAGAAAGAAAAAAAAAGGTATCAAAACCTGCTGGAACTACCCCAAGGGGCATCTTTATTGCAGTCTCCCAGTCCTGCCTCTGAAGCAGTCCATTTACAACCTACTAAAAATGTGTGATGCTAGTAAGATTATGAAAGAGAAACATAGACAACGATGTGTACAAAAGAAACCGCAAAATAATCATTAGTAGACTAGACACTATTCAGTATTCACACAATGATAATGGTACTTGGTACGAACTACAACCAACAACAATAATGTGGGGGGACTGACCTCAACCAAAATCCCATCTCCACTAACACAAACAATTCCATCGTACTTGGAAAAATCAAGTGACTCAACAACTTGCTTCGCGTGGAGCTGATGCTTGGTTTCTGAGAAAAAAATAAAATAAAATAGAAATAGTTTAATTTTTTGATAGTATGATCCCAATCATAATTTGACATGCCAGATTGGTTAAGGAATTACTACTATGCACGGGAAAGAGCAGTG